TTTTGTATTCATGATATGTTTTGTTTGTAGCATGATAATTGGTAATCAAGAAGACGTTGGATTGTTTGTTGATTATCTGATGAAATTTCGTGTTGTTTGGTGCTGACTCTCACCTTAAGAAATTTTTTCAGACGAATTATCGTGTCCCTTTTCACAAAGAATATGCCGCACGACAATCGGCCGGCTTGCGATTCCGATCGATCGGCCAAAGGTATTAACTCTCGTTAATAGTTTACGTGGGAGTTTACCCAAATAACGAGAGAAGAAAGTCGAACTTCAAGTGCTTTTATTGTTATGCAATAATTATTAAGGACATTGCAGCTCGATCGATGGCCACCTGTTACCACCGCGATATATAGTGTTGAGTTAGCGTAACGTTGACGTGATTTATTGCAAATCCACGCGAATTAAATTCGAGTCGATCGCTTGAACGACGCGCATTACATCGCCGTTAAATCTTCTCGCGAAGTATTGACCTGTGTGTGCGGACGACTGACTGATTACAGAATCTAGCAGAGAACAAAAGATTATATTCCTTATCAAGAATCTTACTGGCAGTCTATTTCTGCACCATTAGAAATATAATAAAATTGAAAAGAATTTATACAAAAAGAAGAAGACAATAATATTATGTACTGTGCTAAAAAAAAGTTTACTTAATTTATTTTCCTTTTTTTTAATAAAAGATTATCTTTAAAGATTATCTTTACAAAGAATACCCTCTTGATAGCACACAGGAAAAAAAAACGTTTAATTGGATTAATCAAATTTCTTGTGAAAAATACACAAGTTTAGGGATTATAAGAAATTGAAGTATACAGAAATTCTGTGTACTTCGGACAAAAAGCGTTGGTTTATTTATTGTAACCAAACTTTATGTCTATGCAACAAGATCTTTTCTCTGAGACCAACAATGAGAGCAACATAACAACAAAACGTATAACGTTTACTTGAGTACAGCATGTATTTTCCTATGTGTGTCTATTCATGTCGCGAAAAAATTACGAGTTTACGAGTAAATCGCTGCGCCTCGCGCGCAAAGAAAATTTACAACAATTGTCCGAACAAAAGTTCGTCGCACAAAAGTCGCCACGCGAAAAAAACGTTGCGCGTTATGATACGACAGCAAATTATAGGATGACTCCGCAAAGTATAGGTGGAGTTCCTCGTGGTAACGAGCAGTTCCATGATTGCGCAGTCTCGGAACTCGAACTCGCGTTCGGCTGTTCCGTTCGACACAGCTCCGAGGTGCCATGACCTTATTCTCAAAATTTCTACCTGATTCTGTGTTTATGCAGCCTGATCGAGTTCTCCAGAACGTATTTTCGTAGATGAAGGGCCGGCATAAGTAGCCAATTGATCGCCAATACTGAATTACCAACACTGTCCGAGAAGGAAAAACGTCCGATCACACGTCGACGATTTTACATTTTCGCATTTTTTTTTTGTAAATAAAGTAGCCCAAAGTTTGCCAAGGACGCATTTTCATAGATAAAAAATTGGCATAGATAATGTAAGCGATTATAATTTAATCTTCAGCACCGTCGCTGCTTACATAAGCGTTAAAGCACGAAGAACTCGAAAAGAAAAATTTGCTCATTGTTGTGAATTGTATTCCAAATTTCTTGAAGTGGAATCGCACTCGAAACGAGTGAAAAGTGGCAGCATTTCCCTTGAAGCGATGGTAAAAATACTGCCACTCGGAAGAATTTCACTCTAGCTTAGAATGGATTCTGACTATATGAGCGATTTTACTGATTAGAGTGAATATGTTCTGTGATGATCAAGACCACTCCTCAATTTGAATGAAAATATTCACTCCACGAAACTAAAGCGTGAATCTGACGTATACTCCACTTTCACAAGATATTCACTCTGATCGGTTGAAACATTTACTCATACGGAGTCAGAATTCACTCCAAGCTTAAGCGAAATATACCTTCTTCTATCTCGAGTGGTATTTTTGTTAGGGAAAATACTATCACTTTCACTCGTTTTGAGTGACATTCTGCTCCAAAAAATTTACAGAGTACTTTGCGATACTTCCCAGTCGGATATTACGTGTTCGTCTAGACTGACATCGACGATGATCGATATTTCCTCATTTCGCGTAATGAACGAACGAACCAATGAACGGGTTAGCGTGCGTGGGTCACTTGTGGTAGGTCACGGAGTCACTTTATATTCGAGAATTCCCAGGACGGCCTATCGATCCGTGCACCGGCCGAAGGGACGCCGTGTCACGGGGAGTCAAGAACCCCAGCAACCGTTTCCACGGCCGGTTGTTTGTCGCGGGATGCGGAAATTCGGATGTGCAAAAGTTCAACGGTAGATCGTGGATCAGGAGTAGCTCCGCGAGATGAAGGAGCTGAACGATTGGTGGTGCCTCGTGCCGGAGCAAAATCGTACGCCGCGCATCCCCGAAACTCTGCTCGCTCTGGACGGAAGGGTATTCGTTCTACTTGCTTCTCCCGTTCTGCGAGACTTGGATTCGCAAATCCTCTTGTTTCTCCTCGACAAGAGGAGCCTGGACTTTGCTTTCTGTTTTTCAACGATGATCGGTTATCCGCGCCCGACAGTCGTCTCTTTTTTTCACGTACTCGCATGTCTGTCCTTTTAACACCGAGGAAATATATTTGTGTCGTGGAATTGTTCGTGGAACTCGTTTATCAGTCGACAAACAGTGAGTTTCGAGCTTTATTTTTTTTTTACGCCCCGTACGTAATTTGTGAGTAATAGTAGTTGGTGAAAAAAGATTCATGAAGTGTCGGTCGTTTTGTCTTGCGTGGATCATGAATTTCCCGACAAACAGCGAAGAGCGTATTTCCAGAGATAGCCTTGTCATTATTATCACCTTACTCATATATTCATACTGCAAAGATGGATATAAACATACTGCAAAGATGGTATACAGTGTGTCATAATAACATATTTGTTTCTTGCACACAAAAGAATATATACTGCATTCAAGTAAATGTTACTTATTTCTAGTGTTTCATAGTTTATATGTCCGCAAATCTGTCGTAAGAGTTCATCATAAGAGCATCTAGTTTATTCAAATTAATTCTAAATCCTAATAAATTAAGCATTTCAATCAAGAAATATAAAATTAAAGCAAAAATTTTCAGTTTGGACAGAATGTTTTTAAAATAAAATAATTTAGTTATTCGTTGAGTATGCAAACTAAAATTGGCTTGATGTGTTCATTCAGTGGGAAAGTATAGACTCGACACAGTGGCTTGATGTGTCAAAATAGATTCAATTATAATTCGCACTGATGATCAAGTTATCTATATTTTGGAGACTAGCTGTGTCAAAAGTTGCGGATACCGTTGTTATTTTGCTCTACTTTTCATAACGGGAATTAAATCTTACATAATAAAATAGAGCGCGATATAATTATCTTTAAAAATAAAGAGAGATATGTTATCGGCGTTTATATCACACGAGTGCTAGATATAGTATTGCGTTGTTACAGACAACACACACATAGATACGTATCTAATTATTTTTTAGATACTTTTTATAGGCACTCATGTCGTCTAACGAGTATATTCGTGTACTGATAGAAAAAATGTCTAACAAATAAAATTTATTTATTTAGGGGGAGTTATTAGATTCTTTTTTTTTAGAATATAATAAACAATTGTGCTTTTGCGAAAAGCTGCGATTTAAAAAAATGTACACTAGGAAAGAAATATTAGAAAATTTTTATTTGTGGGAGTTTATTTCACACGAATAAATTTTCAATTGTTTTTGTTTCTCAGTACACATTTTTACTTGAAAAAAATTTTTCTTAGAGGAAAAATATGTATATCATTATAAGTAGGTAATTATAGTAATAATAAGTAATTATAGGTAATAATAGTAATAAGTAGGTAATTATAGTAATAACTTAGTAGTTATTAGTATTCACCGAACAAACATTTCTTTATTTTTTACCCAGCGAGAAATAACTCGTCGATCGACATCGAAAAGATGTCATTTCTCGCTGGGTAGATATTTCTTCTCTCACAAAAGGACATCACGTACTTACCGATTCTAATAAGAAATTTTTTATGAGTAGTCTTTATCCAATAATATTTCCTTGAAAATATCCAATCGATGCACTTCTCGGAATTTATAGAGAAGAAGACTGATAAAGTTTTACGTTAAAGATTCAGATCCGAGTTTCGTATCTTACGAACTTTTTCCCCCTCTTTTTATACGTATGGAAATATTAAATACATTTTATAAATACAATTGCTATTATTTCTTTGAAAAGTATAAATTATTCGAATTATAATTAAAAGAAAGAAAAAGAATACCTCGCGGCGCTGTAGCGAATGGTAATTAATTGTCCAATCATGTGCAGCATGACGAAACATATGTCGGTATAATTATTGATGTAATCGTTGTTAATCAACCCGCTAACGTAATAACGAGACTGTGAGCGAATAAAGTTTGTTCAATTTTAATAACGAAAAAATTGTCACACGTTGACGGCGATCGCGCCGTTTAATTGGGCGATGGTTTAAGGCTGACCTGGCACGGTTAAACAATCGCTTTAAAAATCATTGGCAGTGCCCCTGTTTGAGATATAACTGTGCCGCCGTGTCGAGACACTCCGCGTCCATAGTCCATTCAAACGTACAGAAATTTCTTTTATTCATACTGCATCTCAATTATAATTTGCTTTTCTAAATTGCAAGTTGTGACCTATTGCGTCAAACGTGAGCGACGTTACGCAACACTGTGGGAGTGTCCGCGAGGCGAAATTGAAAATGCAGATTCGCCGAGTGTCTTCCTGGCTGCCTGTATAATTTACATTTGTTTAAATCACTTTTTTTATTACATTCTATTTTTACTTACTTGAAATGGATTTCTTCAATCTGCTCCTGCGATCTCTTTTCCTCTTGCTCTTTCAACTTGTATACCTTGTTCCCGCTTTAAATTTCGCGTAATGCCTACCGTAACGGACTCGCTTAGGCGAACGTTGATTACGTCGCTGTGGTATAATGCCGCAAGCGGTTTGCGGTGCCGCTATCCTTGACGGCAAAATGTGGATCATGGGAAGTACAAGACCCGGAGGCAATTTCGGACGAATTTTTTCTTCCCTTTTTCATATGGAAAATATTAAATACATTTTGTAAATACAATCACTATTTTCTAATTTATTGCTATCATTTCTTCGTAAAATGTAAAAATCCGAATTATAATAGCAATAAATTAGAAAATAACGATTGTATTTACAAAATTAACAAATTTAATTACAAATTTTTTAATTTAATTAAAAATTAAAATTAACTTAACACTTCTATACATATAAAAAAAGGAGAAAAACAAATTCCCAAGGTATGGGACTCGAACCCAAGTTTTGCACTCGTTTTAAGTGAGATTTCGTCATAAGAAATTTTGAAAGTATTCTTTATTTGTTAATAGCAGCAAACACAACCTGCGATCCTTAAGTAAACTCCCTCATATTTCAGGGTATGGCGTTCACTATCGAAGAGAGACAGATCCTGGGTATACACGGTCTCCTTCCAGCAGCCGTGAAGACTCAAGAGGAACAGTTAGACCTCTGCCGCCGTAATCTCGAGCGCTACACGGACGACCTCTCGAAATATATATACCTCATAGGCCTACTGGTACATTGAACAAAGTGGTTTTTGTATCATCATCGTTCGGCTAGCCCGTCATCCTTTTGCCAAGGCTGTAGCTCTCCTTCACGCTGATTCTGACTCACAGTCTTGTTTCATAGGATAGAAACGAGAAACTCTTCTACCGTTTGTTGTCAGAGGATGTAGCCGGCATGATGCCGCTGGTGTACACGCCGACCGTGGGTCAGGCGTGCGAGAAGTTCGGCCTGGTGTATCGTAGACCGCGGGGCCTCTTCATAAGCATCCACGATAAGGATCACGTCTACGACGTTCTGACGAACTGGCCTGAGCAGGATGTGCGGGCGATCGTCGTCACGGACGGCGAGCGGATACTTGGCTTGGGTGACTTGGGTGCTCAAGGCATGGGCATTCCCATAGGAAAGCTGTCGTTGTATACCGCATTGGCTGGCATCAAGCCGCACCAATGTTTGCCCATCACTTTGGACGTTGGCACTAATAATCAGGTAAGCGAGTTCTCCTGGACAGACAGTTCGGTGTGTTTGGCATACTTCTTTGCGCGTTGTAAGCCGTGGAGAAATTCGTGGGTTAATTTCATCGGGGATATTTGATTTTCGTATTTCGTTAATATTTACGATACAATCCGATTGATATATTGATTTCCTAGACGAGAAGTTTGTCTCGTTATCCTTTGACTCGTCTAGTTCTCGCGAAGTCGAGTTAAGTTCTTGTCTGACGATAGTCCAAACTTTGATTACAAAATCATTTGAAATGAGTTGATTTTTAGATTTTGCGATACGTAGACAGTTAACCTTATGTTCTTGCAGAAATTACTAGACGATCCTCTGTACATCGGTCACAGACACAAGCGTGTCACCGGACAAAACTACGATGAACTGTTGGACGAATTCATGCAGGCCGTTGTGAAGCGGTTCGGTCAGAATACGTTAATCCAATTCGAGGATTTCGGCAACGCTAACGCCTTTAGGTTGCTCACCAAGTATCGCGACGACTATTGCACTTTCAACGACGACATTCAAGGCACCGCCTCCGTCGCCGTTGCCGGCTTACTGGCTTCACTTTGCATCACGAAGAAGAAGCTCTCGGAGAACACCATCGTGTTCCAGGGCGCCGGAGAGGTAACTATCGAAACATTCGTTCAGCACTTGGAGCAACTTACGTAAGTTACGAGAAGCTATTAATAGCGTCTTTCACCATTTTCAATTTCTCCGAAATGGATAACGACGTGGTTCTACTTCGAATTATGAGTAACTTCCAGATGCTACATTCCCAGGCAGCACAAGGTCAGCAATCGGGTCATAAGACGTCTTTAAAACATCTTTAAGACATCTTTAAGACAAGTTTATAAGATATTGTCTTAAAGATACCTTAAAGACGTCCTCTGACTTAAAGCTTAATCTACAATATGCTCTTTGCTTCTTGCTCCTTTCTCTTTATCTCTTTGATCTTAAGCTTTAAGTCAAAAAAAGATAGAAGACAAGAAACAGGACGCAAAGAGCATATTGTAGATCAGGCTTTAAAGATGTCCTAAAGACGTCTTATGATTCGATTTTGGACATTTGTGCTGTCTGGATTGCATGTGAATTTTCGTAATTCTGACTGTGATCAATCCCAGAGCAACCGATACATTAACGATTTGAAATCCTCGACGAAACTAACGAGTTCTAAACTAAAATTGAAAATCGCTTGCCCAGGCGTCGTTAGGTATCGCCTCGTTATGCGTGACGGCCATGCAAAAGGAAGGAGTGAGTGAAGAAGAAGCTAAGAAGAAGATCTGGATGGTAGATTCGAAAGGATTAATTGTGAAGAACCGTCCGCGCGGTGGGCTCACGGGACACAAGTTGGAATTCGCACGCGAGGACGAGCCGATCGACACTCTGGTGGATGTTGTGAAGACGGCCAAGCCATCGGTTATCATCGGCGCGGCCGCCATCACGGGCGCTTTCACGACAGAAATATTGCAAGAAATGGCGCGAAATAACGAGAGACCGGTTATTTTTGCTCTGAGCAACCCGACGAGCAAAGCAGAGTGCACTGCTGAGGAAGCATACACTGCTACGGAGGTTTGCAAACTTACTCATCTACAAAACTAGTGCGTCGCGTTTGGAAGATATTTTAACGAGCTCTCACGTCACGTTTGTATCTTTCCTCGACGAGAAATTAGAACGAACTTAAAGAAATATATATTTATACGCAGAATTTAATTTGAAGAGAAAGATTTTTCCTGTTTCGGACAGAGTTTATTAGACGATGATTGAATTTATGATTAGATCGCAAAAAATGCAAGTCAACGTAGAGCACCGTAAAGATATCTTCCTGCAATTTCTACCGAGACATGCATTCTCGTGCTGATGAAATTCTTCGGGACATTTAATCGACTCATCGTTTGAATCGCGCAGGGAACGTGCATATTCGCAAGTGGCTCACCTTTCCCGCCGGTCAAATACAACGGCAAAACTTTCCATCCCGGTCAAGGTAACAATAGTTACATCTTCCCTGGAATCGCGCTTGCCGCAATATGCGCCGGTATGCGCACAATTCCTGAGGAGACCTTCCTGATCGCTGCGAGAGCTCTCTCCGAGTTGGTGTCGCAGACCGACTTGGACAGTGGGAATCTTTACCCGCCATTGTCCGACATACAGAAGTGCTCGATGAGTATAGCTTGCGCGATTATGAAGTACGCTTACGAGAATTGTGAGTACGAATATTGTTATGAATCAATATCGTTGTAGTATAATGCAAACACTCGTCAATTTAATCCAGACATATATATTTAGATATATTGTCTACTTAAAGCCTAATCTATAATGTGCTTTTTGCTTCTTATTTTCTGCTTTTTATCTATTGCGCTTTCGCTTCTCGATATACTGTTTTATCGATGATTGCGTCTTTTGTAAAGCGGGATCTACAATGAAGATTTAAGTTTTAAGAAATTGACCAACCACGGTTGAATATTCTTGTAAAAATCGATTGTGGTTGGTCAATTCCTTAAAGCTTAAATCTTCATTGTAGACTCCGCTTTATGTGTTTATTTTTTCTTCTAGAATTCGTCAACTTTTGTTGAACAACAAGAAACGAAAGACAGAAGCAAAAAAATAGTAGCAATATTACATATAACATTATTATTACTAACACTGTAATAAAACACAAATGGTTCTGACAATAATTCCTTTACTATGCGATTATGGTTACAAATACCAAAGAGTTCTTTTCTCAGTGTATCAATAGTAGACGATTATCGTGTTTTTAATTAGCGTAAATTGATTTCCTTCACGCAGCGCTGGCAACAGTTTATCCAGAGCCTAAAGACTGCGAGAGCTTCATCAAGGCGCAACTATACGACACGAGCTACAAGTCGTCCGTGCCTCCAGTATATTCATGGCCGAACTTATAATGTCTCCGATCATCCAATGAAGACTTGACTTTGCACACGATTTTGGGTCCACGAGCGAGAACATATACGCCACACATGTAGTCGTGCGCGCGCGCATACACACAGTGTTCTCGAAAATTGTCAACGAATTTCGCTTACGCTATTCCTAAGAGCCTGTTGATCGGGCTTACTTTATCCGAAGCACTGCGTACGTGAGAATGTGAGCATAATTTATAAAAAAAAAAGAAGAAAATAAAAGAAATTGTTGAGGTCGCAAGGGTGAATTCGCTCATGTTGGATGCGAAGCAGCGTTGTCGAGTGTGTCGTCGACTGAGTGTATCAGTTTGCTGGTTGAACAAATAAATCTCGACGCTGACTTGAAAGAAATGTATTTATTGCTACTCGTAACATCGCTTTTCGCAGATATCCCCCGTTCGAAGAGCAGCATATGTAAGATTCGTCATATTTCGTAGATGTAGTATGAATAAAGGTTTTAAACCAAAACTTTTCTCTTATGCAAATTAAAGATGTGATGAGATAGTGGGGGACAGGGTAAAGATATTTGCATGTGTGAACACACCGCGTATAATATTCGGCATACATTCTTGACTTATAATTCAAATCCTCGTAAAATAGTAAATCTGAGCCTACAGAGACGGCAAAATTTCGCTATGATTTAGGCCAGGAATAGAAAATCGCCGGCGGCAAATCAGTAAGACCAGAAATTGCAGTCACGGTGAAAAATCTCGCGGATTCCGCGTATGAGTCGCGATGAGTCAGAATTGAAACTACGAGAGCAACTCCGTTTGAATGCAGAAAAAAACGCAGAAAAGATCTCGAAGAAAAAATTTTCTAATACAATGTATTCTTATATTTTAAGATGCACGTAATTCACACCGATGAATTGTAGATGATAGTTCTTCACACACTCCCTCCTTCGTTCGTTCGTTCACTCACGCACTCTCTCTTTCTCTCTCTCTCTCTCTCTCTCTCTCTCTCTCTCTCTCTCTCTCGATGCTTTTCTTAATGTCTTACCGACATGTGTTCGCGTAAATCTACCTGCATTATATCACTAGTTCCGACTTACTGCTAGAACACTTTCGTGGTCGTCAATTTATAACCAATAGATTATTACAAACTGCGGACCCGAGTGATCTTTGCTTCAAACTCATTATCTCTTGAATAATAGTTTAATATGGTAATAAATTTAAGGGACAAAATGTACAGTAGCGCTTAAAAAATTGTTTACAATCTCTGGGACTCTGTTACGCTACACTGAGCAGACACACTGGCGTTTGCGCGCCAGTAACAGGGACTTCGTCATCGATTCATGATCGTTTAATTCGTGGTAAAAGTAAATTGTAGACACATCAGGAGCCTTTCCTTTATTTTTGACAAGCGAGTCAGCAACCTGATCATTTGTCGTCGAATATACTCGAATTAGTCCAAGTTCCACGGCACCATCGCACTACTGCCTTCCCTACGTACAAATTCGCTCTCGAGAGATAAAGCACGAATTATATCGTGAGAAATCTTCGAATTTGATCGATGTCTTTGCACATGTGTGCCATTCTAATAGTCTCGCATTATAACGAGTTTCGTTGCTACGCAAGATAAGTTTTCATGAAAACTAAAGATATCAGAACGAAGACGTAGGGCAGTAGTAGTGTCGTTGAAAGTGGAGTGTCTGTCCAGTAGGGAAGTCGGTCCCTTTCCTAGCTTCATCGAGAGAGCGAGTGTGATCGTTCGTGGGTCTGTTGGGAGTCACCGGCTGCCCGCGGGTCAGGTAATCTCTGAGATGCCGGCAGAGCATCGAAAAACGAATGCGTCAATGAGTCCTTCAGAGTGATGCGTAGTGAGGGTTCGTATTCCAACATTCGCTGAATGAGATCAAACAGCTGACGATGTTCATCATCATCTGATAGCATATAGCGCTGTAACAAACGTTGAAGAAGTTACTTACGTGTTCGCGAGATGAGTGTAGTAGTATATAAGCCCATATCAAACCTTCTCTCTGTTGGCGATTAAGCTTTGTATTTACATACTAAAAAGCTTATACGAAATTACGAAAGATGGTCATAAATGTTTCTTGGAGCAATTCAATCAACTTTTCCTTAACATTGAACTTCAACGCAGAAATTTCAATCCTCAACGCATGGGTCGTTATGAACTTAAACAAAGCCTGACAAAATACTTACGTGTAACGGCTTGCAATTATCTCGCACATATCTGCCAGCTGAACTCTTGTCATCCCAGTCCAACTTGCCATGATAGAAGTACTTGGTCTTGGTTTTGCGTGCCATACGATGCGGTATCGTGCCAAGTATACGCTCCATCATCGCCAGGTGTTCGCGATTATCGTGTGTTTGGAATAACGTGATGCCCAGGTATAACTCGAACAGGATGCAGCCAATGGACCAGACGTCGCAGGGCTGGGACCAACCCAGTTCTGCAATTCAGAAGCGCAACACGACGTAACACGACTAGCTGTGATATAATGCGTAATAACGCGCGTGCGATCGGAGATATTTTAAGAGAGATGCTCACCTAAAATTACCTCGGGCGCTCTGTAGTGTCTCGTGCTAACGATCGTGCTATGATGTTCATGATCGAACGTAGCGCTGCCAAAGTCGATGAGCCTGATGTCGGTTCGTTTCACGCGTCTCACGTCCCTCCGCTTGAAAAGGGAAAGCTTTTTTGGAACACTTTAGAATAGTAGCTTACCCTACATACCATAATTGAAGCTCTCAAACGATCGTACGATACAGATAGACGCTAACGAAGACAGCACACACCTTTTTGCTGTTATACGTGCTATCGTAATCCGAATCGACGAACAGTATGTTCTCCGGCTTGAGATCCGTGTGCGTGAGTTTGTTGTCATGTAAGAATTTCACTGCGTAGCACAGCTGGTAGCCCATATGCCTAACATGTTCCAATGGGTACGGCTGATAACTGTTGTCCCTCTGCAAAAGACAATCCTAGATTAATATTATTAAGCCAGAGGATTGTCGTCGTCACGGTGCATCGTGCTAGTACTTACTAGGAAGTCAAAAACGCTCAAGCCGAGCATCTCGAAGGCGATACACATGTGCCCATGATAATTGAACCAGTCGAGCATTTTCACGCAAAGACTGCAACGCGATGGAAGACAATTTAGCAATCTAGATTATTAATCGTAATAACAGAAAACGTTTTTACATGTAGGTTGGAATAAATGGAAAGAAATGAACGATCGTATACTAACTGCTGGCCTTCGGGATCCTTAACGGCGATCTTCTCTAGCGCATTAATCTCCAACTTTGCAGCTTCTCGGTATTTTTCCACATTCTTGATGATCTTCAGAGCCATTACGTGATCCCTACAACATTTATTGTCATGATTCACGATACTGGGAAGAAGCTTCACGCCAATTCAAGACTCATCGTCTCGAGAGAGAAGACGAGTCGTCGCGCCCACGAATAGGAAAACACTTTTCCGGTGTGGAAAGCGCGATCGCGTTCGCCGGCGTTCCGCAAACCGTGATTCCGTATTCCGTTAAAGAGATCCGCGGCCGTCGGGAACGCCCGACTCGTAAAACAAAGTGCAAGGCCATCCTATTATTGCGACCACTCGCGCGTCATTTCGCGACAGCGTCGGACAGCTATTTCTGCGCCGCGCCGAGAGCACTCGCACACTCGAGGAGTCGTCGCGACGCGCCCGCGCATTTAGGATTTCGCCTCGGCGCACAAAACGAGGATGACGCGCGCGCGAATCAGAAGAGATTCGTGAAGGCGAGCGCCGAGGAACAAAACAGAGAGCGAGAAAGAGAAATATACAGAGAGATGAACAGATATCTAGATGGAGAAGGAGGTAGAAAGAGAAAGAGAGAGAAGCGCGAGACGCAGATTACCTACGTATACGTGTGAACTGTCACACTTACATTTGCAAGTCCTTAACCTTGACAACTTTTCCAAAAGTACCCTCTCCTAGGGTGGCCAGTACTTTATCTGCAATGTAAAAATCGGGGTAAATGCCCAGCGGATACGGGCCTCGCGACCCACGGAGAGCGCTCGCCCGCGTTGCCCGCGCGTGCGCGCTGCCGGCGACCCGGAGAGGCGCACCCTCCCGCTCACCTTCGGGCGGGTGACCCGCGCCTGTCGCTCTACCGAGATAAGGGAGACCAGAGAAAGGTCTCCCGCGCCAAGGAGAACCGTCGCGCTCGGAAACAAAAAGGACATACGTGAGGGAGAGAAACACGGGCGAGACTCTTCAGCGTGGGCGCTCGGCCGTTCTCGTGTCGGCTTTATAATATTGTATGTCGCGCGCGGCTTCACGCGAGTATAACGAATAAATGAAGAATGCTAATTGTGGAGAGATTTAGCAATGATATCGACCGGAACTGCCGCTCTCCTAGAGCACCCTGCGATTGGGTGGTGGAGCCCTAACAACCGAACCGAACGGACGCGCGAGACGTGGCATTTACTGTCGGCCGCG